GACTATCTACTACACGGGGGGTCATTAAGCATTACTACAGGGGTCATTAAAATATCTACTACACGAGGGGCTTAAGCATCTACTCAGAGGGGTTTTTAATACTTAAATTTCTACACGAGGGGGCATTAAGATAAAAATACGAGGGTCATTAAGACTATTTTACACGGGGTTAAATTTAAAAATATCTACTACACGAGGGTCATTAAAATATTTTATAACGAGGGGCTTTTTGTTTTCTACTACATTTAGGGTTTTTAAAATTATTACTACACGAGGGGGCATTAAGACTTTTCTACTACCCGAAGGTCTTAAAACTATCTATACACGAAAAGGGGCATTAAAAACTACAATACGAGGGGCATTAAAAACTTTTTATACACGAGGGTCATTAACAATATCTTTTACACGGGGGGTCGTTAAGCTATCTTCTCACGAGGGTCATTAATACATCTTTCTTTAAAGAGGGTCATTAAGACTACAATTTCCCCGGGGTTTATTAAAGGGCTATCTACAATACGGGGGGGGTCATTAAGGGCTATTACTACACGAGGGTCTTAAGACTCTACACGAGGGGCCCCCAAGAATATTTTACTACCCCGGGGGGTCATTAAGACTTTCTACAATTTCGAGGGGCATTAAAAACTATCATACCCCGGGGTCATTAAGATATCTACAAAACGGGGCATTAAGACTATTACAAAACGAAGGGGCATTAAGACTATCTACTATACGAGGGGCAAAAAGACTATTTAAATACGAGGGGCATTATGACTATCACAAAAACCCAGGGTATTAAAAAAACTATTTAAAAATAAGAGGGTCATTTTAAGGGTATCTTCAATACCGGGGGGTCATTAAAGGGGTATTACAAATAAGAGGGTCATTAAGACTATTACTACACGAGGGTATTAAGGGGTATTTACAAATTAAAAAGGGTCATTAAGGGCTATCTAAAATTTGGGGGGTTTATTAAGGGGCTATCTACCCAACCCCAAGGGTCATTAAGACTATTTACATAAGGGGTTTATTTAAAAATATCTACAAAGAGGGGCATTAAGGGCTATTTACAATACGGGGGGTCATTAAAACTATTACAATTTCGGGGTATTTTAAAACTATTTTCAAAAGGGGGTCATTAAGCTATTACAATCGAGGGGGCATTTAAAACTATCTACACACGAGGGTCATTAAAAAGGGAATAAGGTAAATTACAGTGTGTTAGCTAAAAAATAAAAAATCTTTCCCCCCCCCTTTTTTGTTGTACATTATCGAACCTTTTTTGGGAGTCTTCTTGAATGGTTCATGTATGACTGGCTTTGAATTTTGCGGGCGTCGTTCCCTTTCCTTTTTTGCTGTAAAAATAAAAGGGGTTTGGACGGGGGGGCCCCTGATGTGGGGCTACTAACCCAAAAATTTTGCTCTCTCCCCCTAGTACTATGACTGTTTTTTGGGTTCCCCCAAACCCTTTACAAAAAATTACAGCAAAATTTTTGGACATTGTTTGGGGTGCAATTTTTTAAAACTTTATTTAGCTTCAGTTGTTTTTTCTCTGTCTTCAACATTTTAGGGTATCCAACTGTGTTTAAATTCCCTCCTGGCCTACATGTTTTCTTGGGGCCCCGCCCCCCGAATGAATCTTTTCGATTTTGTTCTGGGTGTTTTTCAGTCTATCTTTTGTTTTTTTTTAAGGCCAAAAAGGGACCATGAAAAAAGCAAGGGGTAATCCATAGGCATTGTTTTAAGGGGTAGGGCATAGGGTCCTGCGGGGCCCCAAAATAGGTAGACAATTTTGCCTCAGAAAAGGGAGGGCACTGTGCCTCAGGTTTGGTAGACCTGTTTCCTCAGTAGGGGGAGGACAAATGCCTCAGTAGGTAACCTGGGCCCCAGTAGGTAGACACTGTGCCCCAGTAGGGGAGGGCCCTGTGCCCCCGTAGGTGCACTGCCTCAGGTTTTAAAAAGGGAGCAAATGTGCCCCAGTAGGGGGGACACTGTTTCCTCAGTAGGTAGACACTGTGCCTCAGTAGGTAGACACTGTGCCCCAGTGGGGGGACACTGTTTGGGGCCTTTTTATAGGTAGCACTGTGCCTCAGTAGGTGACCTGTGCCCCAGTAGGTAGACAAATGGCCTAGTAGGTTTGACACTGTGCCTCAGTAGGTAGACCCCTGTTTCCCCCAGTAGGGGAGACACTGTGCCTCGTAGGTTTGACCCTGTGCCTCAGTAGGTAGACACTGGGCCCCAGTAGGTAGACACTGTGCCTTTAGTAGGGAAAACACTGTGCCCCGTAGGTGGAACCCCTGTGCCTCAGAGGTAGACACTGATGCCTCAGTGGTTTGACCCCTGTGCCCCAGTAGGTAGCACTGTGGGGTCAGAGGTAGCCTGTGCCTCAGTAGGGGGGCACTGTGTCAGTAGGTAGGGCCCCTGTGCCTCAGTAGGTAGAAAACTGTGCCTCAGTAGGTAGACCAATGTGGGCCCCAAATAGGTAGACACTCTGCCCTTTTCTTTTCAGGAAAATTTTTGGGATTCGCATTTTTACTAACTGTTTTCCCCATCAAATTTTCCTGACATGAAAGGGGTTTAAAGGGGGAATTTTCCCAAAAATTTTTTTACTGATGAAAACCAAAATTATGGGCTCCCCATTTTCACTGGCATTAAAATTATTTACCCTTCTCAGTTTTTGTTTTGTGCCAGAGGGGAAAGGCTTCAGTTTTCTCGAGGTGTTAAAGATAGTTTTTTTGGGCTTCTAACCATTTGCTGGGGGGACTCCCGGGTTTCCAAATGTTAAAACATTAAACAATTATTTGGGGTCTTTACCCGACCTAACAGGCACTGGGATCTGCATACGTTGGGGTTTGCACTTGACAGGTTTGGGATATCATTGAAAAAAAATAAGAATAATAAAGGGGAAACCCCGAATACTACCTTGGGGGGAACTCCCCATGTTTTCGGCAGGGGTTTTTGATTCTGTTTTGGGTTTATTTTTACTATTTGTCTCCCCGTTGGGTAAGGTGGGGGTTTAAAAAAAGGTCTACAGAACCTATAACCATTGCTTGAAGTTTATTTTCCCTAATATTTTTGTGGTTGACAGTATCGGGGGCCTTTTTTCAGGTCAAAAAGGGTTTCCATACCCATGAGGTTTCCCCCTTTTACATTAAAGTTTTTCAAGTAACCCTCGATTAATTAGGGAGGTGTCGGTTTGAGTAATTTCTTCAAAAGCCCCCCATTGATAGCTATTTGGGGAAATGTTGTTGTTATTAAGGTACTTAATACTTGGGGAGTACACCGCCCTTCTGGAATTTTGGGGTTTTTTATCGAGTATTAAAAGGCCTATAGTTTGGGTTAAAATCCCCCTATTTATTTTTCTTTAAGATTGGGGGAAACTTGGCCCCCCCTTTAACCCCTCGGTTTCGGAAATTTGTGGGTTTATTTATTTGATTTTATGTGGCAATAGGGTTTTACAGTTCCAAAAACAAAAACATCTTTTAGGAACTTAGAGGGATGTTATCCGGGGCCCTGCTCTTAGTTCTTTTTGGAAAATCACTTAACCCCAAACCCCAACCCCAACAAAAAGCGAAATTTTCACCCTCAAATTAGCCTTTGGGCTAAAATTCCAAATTTTTAACAAAAATAGAAAAAAAAACTACGGATAGGGCAAATTTGGGGTCAAAATCCTGAGGGGATTTTGCTAAGAAATGCCGATGTGCGGCGGCCATTGTTAAATTTAAATTTTGGAACGCCGAGGAATGAATTCCCGGCGGTGATTGGATGTGGCTCGAATTTTACGGCATACATCCTTTCCCTCATAAAAATATTTAAGTGGTTAATATTTCCAAAAAAAAAAAGGCAATTTACGTACCTTTTTTTCATAGTTTCCACAAAATAAAATTAATTTTTGCAGAACTCACTTATTATTGTACCCTGAAATATAAATTATTGCCAAACTCAGTCGAGCAACTATAGTCTATATTGACTAATAGTAATAATAAAATATAATAATAATAATAATAATAATAATAATAATAATAATAATAATAATAATATATTTACTACCAGTACATGTACAAGGTATACAGACCATAGCTGACATCAATGACATACTACTATATAGCAAGTCCCTTGTTATGCTGAGCATTTCCCGAAAATTAGGTTAATTTTGTCCCCAGGATGCGACCCACACCAGTCCACTAACACCCAGGTACCCATTTTACTGATGGGAACATAGACAACAGATGGAAAGAAACACGTCCAATGTTTCTACTCTGGCTGGGAATCGAACCCAGACCCTCGCCGTGTGAAGCGAGAGCGTTAGCCACCAGGCCACCAGAGTGGGGAGCGCTAAACCCATAGGATTATAAAGCGCACGTGGGGGGGATGGAAGGTATTCATTCTTAATTCAGGGAACTGGAGCACAGTTCCAGTTCCCTAGATCAAGAGCCCCTCACCAGCGCCAAGGAACCTCCCTTGAGGGGAATATATTATATAGATTTAACATATGATAACCCAGTAAAACACACAAGACAAGGTGTCCTGTGGTTAGGTTGGTAGCGCATTTAGCCCACACACTGAGGTCCGCGGTTCGATTCCCGGTACGGGTGGAAACATTAGGACCTGCTGTCCATGTTCGCCTAGCAGTAAGTAGGTACTTAGGTGTTATTCACCTTACATCTGCTGTCACTGTTCACGTAGCAGTAAGTAGGTACTTGGGTGTTAGCCGACTGGTGTGGGTCGCATCCTGGGGACAGAATTAACTTAATTTTCGGGAAATGCTCAGCATAACAAGGTAGAAATAAAAATTATTATTATTTCTACTGGGGTCCCCAGATCCCAATGTATAAGTTCATATAACAGAATATATATATATTATATATATATAATATATATTATATATATTATAATATATATATATATAATATATATATATATAATATATTTATTTAATAAATATATATATATAATATATATATATATATAATTATATTAATATGTATTTTTCTTGCCAACAGAAGAAGAAGCATTGTTCCAGGACACACGAACTGAACTCAAAAAAATCAACGACATTCTAGACAAACTCTCAGGATTAGTAAACTCGGCAAACAACAAGACAAGAGTGAGGCATCCCTCTGGGTGGGGTGTTGTCTCCCACGATCCTGTCCTCACACGAGATGCTGTCCTCACACGAGATGCTGTCCTCACACGAGATGCTGTCCTCACACGAGATGCTGTCCTCACACCAGTACCTAATGACATATGTGTATACGACTATGAAAAATGCACAGATCTATGTAATACTCTTACTCAGATACAAAATCTGATGGATATTTTGTTGGCGAGTATTGATAACTGGGACCGGAGCGATTATAAACATCTGAAACAAGCCGGAGATGCTCTGTCAACGAACGAGGAAAATGCAAGTCAAGATGACAGTTTTTCTCAGAAGATTGATAAGGATAACTTCAGTAATTATGTCCAGACCGTTCAGTCAGTGAGTATATATATATACACACACGTCATGTATTATATATTGGGCTGGGAATGTGTGTTCCAGGAAGAAATTGTATGGTGATACCGACGAGATGTGGGAAAAGGTAGTAGTAGTAGTAGTAGTAGTAGTAGTAGTAGTAGTAGTAGTAGTAGTAGTAGTAGTAGTAGTAGTAATTAGTAGTAGTAGTAGTAGTAGTAGTATTAGTATAGATATTATTATTATTATATATTATTATTATTAGTAGTAGTAGTAGTAGTAGTAGTATAGCAGTAGTAGTAGTAGTAGTAGTAGTAGTAGTAGTAGTAGTAGTAGTAGTATAAGTATTAGTAAGTTATTTATTATTATTAATTATTAAGTGTAGTAGTAGTAGTAGTATTAGTAGTAGTAGTAGTATAGTAGTAGTAGTAGTAGTAGTAGTAGTAGTAGTAGTAGTAGCAGTAGTAGTAGTAGTAGTAGTAGTAGTAGTCAAAAAAACCATACCACGGGCGGAAAATAGAACCCGCGGTCAGAGAGTCTCAAAACTCCAGACCGTCGCGTTAGCCACTGGACCAGCTAGCCACAATAAGATTCATCCAACTAGGTATATTTCTACACCATAGGAAGGTTAGCACAGGCACCACTGTGACCACAAATGCAAGATTTTACAGACGAATCTCCAGCTAGCGTGGCCGTGACGAACTCTAGCTCAAGTCCCCTCAAAGCCGTCAACATGACTCACAAATTCGTAATGACACGATTAGTGGTATGGTTTGTTTGCAATCGTGTCATTACGATTTCGTGAGTCATATTGACGGCTTTGAGGGGACTTGAGCTAGAGTTCGTCACGGCCACGCTAGCTGGAGATTCGTCTGTAAAATCTTGCATTTGTGGTCACAGAGGTGCCTGTGCTAACCTTCCTATGGTGTAGAAATATACCTAGTTGGATGAATCTTATTGTGGCTAGCTGGTCCAGTGGCTAACGCGACGGTCTGGAGTTTTGAGACTCTCTGACCGCGGGTTCTATCCCACCCCTGGTATGGTTAGTAGTAGTGGTAGTGTTGGTAGTGGTGGAAGAATTGTAGTGAGATGGGTTGGATATAAGAAGTACCTGTCACCATCAACCACAACTGTACTATTAATACTACTGCTACTATTACTACGACTACTACTATTACTACTGTTACTCCTACTACCCTCGCGGCTTACCACCTGACTCCTGCAAATATAAATAAACTCCTATCTTAGTTACCTCTTCATTACAACTAAAGAAGACACTCGTGGCGATACGTTTCCTATAATAAAAGTCCTGAAGTGTACATAAATGTTCCCACAACAGCTGGAGTGTATGGTGTGATGCTGTGTATGGTGTGATGCTGTGTATGGTGTGATGCTGTGTATGGTGTGATGCTGTGTATGGTGTGATGCTGTGTATGGTGTGATGCTGTGTATGGTGTGATGCTGTGTATGGTGTGATGCTGTGTATGATGTGATGCTGTGTATGGTGTGATGCGGTGTATGGTGTGATGCTGTGTATGGTGTGATGCTGTGTATGTGGGATGCTGAGTATGGTGTGATGCTGTGTATGGTGTGATGCTGTGTATGATTGTGATGCTGGTGTATGGTGTGATGCTGTGTATGGTGTGATGCTGTGTATGGTGTGTTGCTGGTGTTTATGGTGTGATGCTGTGTTTGGTGTGATTCTGTGAATGTGTGATGCTGTGTATGGTGTGATGCTGTTATGGTGTGATGCGTGTTTGATGTGATGGCTGTGTATGGGTGATGCTGTGTATGATGATGATGCTTGTGTATGGTGTGATGCTGTGTATGTTGTGATGCTGTGTATGGTGTGATGCTGTGTTATGGTGTTTAGACTGCTGGTGTATGATGTGATGCTGTGTATGGTGTGTGCTGTGTATGGTGTGTTGCGTGTATGGTGTGATGCTGTGTATGTTGTGATGCTTGGTATGGTGTGTTGCTGTGTTGATGTGATGCTGTGTTTGGTGTGATGCTGTGTATGGTGTGATGGGTGTATGGTGTGATGCTGTGTATGGTGTGATGCTTGTTTTATGGTGTGTGATGTGTATGGTGTTGATGCTGTGTATGGTGTGATGCTGTGTATGGTGTGATGCTGTGTATGGTGTGTTGCTGTGTAGGGGTGATGACGGTGTATGGTGTGATGCTGTGTATGGTGTGATGCTGTGTATGGTTGTGTTGCTGTGTATAGTGTGATGCTGTGTATGGGTGATGCTGTGTATTGGCGTGATGCGGTGTATGGTGTGATGATGTGTTGGTGTGATGCTGTGTGTGGTGTGTGCTGTGTATGGTGTGATCGCTGTGGGTGGTCGTGATGGCTAGTGTATGGTGTGTTGCTGTGGTAGTGGTGTGTTGCTTGTGTAGTTGGTGTGATGCTGTGTTGGTTTGGATGCTGTGTATGGTGTGATGCTGTGTAGGGTGTGATGCTGTTGTATGGGTGTGTGCTGTGTATGGTTGTGTTGCTGTGTATGGTGTGTGCTGTGTATGGACGTGTGGCGGTGTATGGTGTGATGCTGTGTATGGTGTGCTAGCTGTGTATGGTGTGAGCCTGTGGAGGGTGTGATGCTGTTGTATGGTGTGATGCTGGGTATGGTGTGTGCTGTGTATGGCGTGATTGCTGTGTATGGTGTGATGCTGTGTGGTGTGATGCTGTGTATGGTGTGATGTGTTTGGTGTGAGGCTGTGTTTGGTGTGTTGCTGTGTATGTTGTGATGCTGTGTTGGGTGTGATGCTGTGTATGGTGTGATGCTGGTGTATGGTGTGAATGCTGTGTAATGGTGTGATTCTGTTGTATGATGTGATGCGGTGTATGGTGTGTGGTGTGTTTATGGTTGTGATGCTGTGTATGGGTTGTGATGCTGTGTATTGGTTGTGATTGCTGGTATGGTGTGATGCTGTGTTTGGTGTGTTGCTGTGTATGATGGATGCGGTGTATGGTTGTGATGCTGTGGTATGGTGTGTTCCTGTGTATGGTGTGATGCTAACGTGTATGGTGTTGATGCTGGTATGGCTGTGATGCATGTGTTATGGTTTGATTGCTGTGTATGGTGTGATGTGTGTATGGTGTGATGTGTGTTTGGTGTGATGTGTGTTTGGTGTGATCTGTGTATGGTGTGATGCCCGTGTATGGTGTGCTGCTGTTTTATGTGTGATGCTGTGTATGGTGTGATGCGGTTTTTGGGTGGGGGGGGTGGATGCTGTGGTGTGTGTTATGCTGTGTTGGGTGTGATGGCTGTGGATGGTGTGATTCCTGTGTATGGAGTGATGCTGTGTATGGTTGTGATTCTGTGTATTATGTGATGCTGGTATGGTGTGATGCTGTGTATGGTGTGATCCTGTGTTTCGGTGTGATCTGTGTATGGGTTTGATCATGTATATGGTGTGTTCTGTGTTGGTGTGTGCTGTTTTTGGTGTGATGCTGTGTGTGGTGTGTGGCTGTGGATGGTGTGATCCTGTGTTTGGGTGTGATGCTGTATTTATGGTGTGTTCTGTGTATGGTGTGATGCTGTGGTTGGTGTGATGTGGGTATGGTGTGATGCTGTGCATGGGTGATGCTGGGTTGATGTGATGATGTGTTAGGGTGTGATGCTGTTTGCATGGTGTGATGCTGTGTAGGATGTGATGTTGTGTATGGTGTGATGCTGTGTGGGGTGATGCTGTGCATGGTGTGATGCTGTGTATGTGTGATGCGGTGTATGTTGATGCTGTGCTTTGGGGTGATGCTGGTTTATGGTGTTTGCTTGTGTGTGGTGTGATGCCTGTGTATGTGTGATGCTGTGTATGGTGTGGATGGGTTGTGTAGGGTTTTGATGCTGTGTATGGTGTGATGTTGGTGTATGGGGTGATGCGTGTATGGTGTGTTGCTGTGTTTGGGGTGATCCTGTGTACGGTGGTGATGCTGTGTATGGTGTGATGAGTGTGTTTGGTGTGTTCATGTGTGGGGGTGAGCTGTGTATCGGTGTGATGCTGTGTGGTGTGATTGCTGTGTTGGTGTGTTGCTGTGTATTGTGTGTTGATGTGTATGGTGTGATCCTGTGTATGGTGTGATCTGTGTATGGTGTGATGTGTATTGGTGTGATGCTGTGGTGGTGTGATAGATGTGTATGGTGTGTTTGCTGTGTATGGTGTGATGCTGTGTATGGTGTTGATCCTGTGTATGGTGTGATGCTGTGTATGGTGTGATGCTGTGTATGGTGGGGATGCTGTGTATGGTGTGATGTGTGTATGGGGTGATGCTTTGTATGGTGTGATCTGTGTATGGTGTGCTGCTGTGTGTGGTGTGATGATGTGTGTGGTGTGAATGCTGTGTATGGGGTGATGCTGTGTATGGTGTGATGATGTGTATGGTGTGGATGCTGTGTATGGGTGATGCTGTTGTATGGTGTGATGCTGTGTATGGTGTGATGATGTGTATGGTGATGTTGTTTGTATGGTGTGATGCTCTGTATGGTGTGATCCTGTGTATGGGTGGGATGCTGTGTATTGGTGTGATGTTGTGTATGTGTGATGTGTGTATGGTTGTGATGCTGTGAGGTATGATCCTGTGTATGGTGTGACTGTGTATGGTGTTGGGGATGCTGTGTATGGTGTGATGCTCTGTATGGTGTGATCCTGTGTTTGGTGTGATGCTGTGTATGGTGTGATCCTGTGTATGGTGTGATGCGTTGTATGGTGTGAGGCTGTGTATGGTGTGATGCTGTGTATGGTGTGGATGCTGTGTATGGTGTGATGCTGTGTAGGTGTGATGCTCTGTATGTGTGATCCTATGTATTGGTGTGGATGCTGTGTATGGTGTGTATGGTGTTTTTTTTTTTGGTGTGATGCTGGGTATGTGTGATGTGTGTTATGGTTGAAGCTGGGTGTGGTGTGATGCTTTGTTGGTGTGATTGCGTATATGGTGTGAAGTGTGAGTGGTGTGTTGCTGTGTATGGTGTGATGCTGTGTATGGTGGTGATATGTGTATTTTGTGATGCTGTGTATGGTGTGAT